AGAGAGAGAGAGAGAGAGAGAGAGAGAGAGAGAGAGAGAGAGAGAGAAAGAAGGAAAGAAAGAAAGAAAGAGAAAAGAAAGAAAGAAAGAAAGAAAGGAAGAAAGAAAAGAAAGAAAGAAAGGAAGGAAGAAAGAAAGAAACCAAGAGAGAGAAAGAAGGAAAGAGACAGAGAAAGAAAGAGAGGGAGATAAAGAAAAAACAGAGAGACAGGAGAAAAAAGAGAGAAGAAATAAAAAGAGAAAGAAAGAGAAAGGAAGGAAGGAAAAGAAAGAGAGAGTGAAAGGGAGAGATAAAAAGGGAAGGAAGGGAGGGAGGGAAGGAGGGAAGGAGGAAGGAAGGAAACAATCAAGGTTATGTTGTGAAATTTTAACATTGGGGAATACGGATGAAGGGCATACGGAAGTTTTTGAGACCATTCCTGCAACCCTCACGTAAGTTGAAATGTTATTTCAAAATTAAAAATAAATAAGTAAACTAATTATTAGAACACTGGTATAATTATGCATAGTTATTATCACAATTAGTAATATTTTTTAACTATTAAAAAAATCTATTTGTGGCCAGGCACAGTGGCTCACGCCTGTAATCCCAGCACTTTGGGAGGCCGAGGTGGGCAGATCATGAGGTCAGGAGTTTGAGAGCAGCCTGGGTAACACAGCAAAATCCTGTCTCTACTAAAATACAAAAAATTAGCTGAGCGTGGTGGCAGATGCCTGTAATCCCAGCTACCTGAGAGGCTGAGGCAGGAGAATGGCTTGAACCCAAGAGGCAGAGGTTGCAGTGAGCCTAGCCACTGCACTCTGATCTGGGTGACAGAGGGAGACTCCATCTCCCAAAAAAAACACAAAAAACAAAAAACAAAAAATCTATTTGTGGTTGGGCATGGTGGCTCATGCCTGTAATCCCAGCACTTTTGGATCACTTGAGGAGTTTGAGACCAGCCTGGCCAACATGGTGGAACCCTGTCTCTACAAAAAATACAAAAAATTTAGCTGGGCATGGTGGCACGTGTCTGTAATACCAGCTATTTGGGAGGCTGAGACAGGAGAATTGCTTGAACCCAGAAGATGGAGCATGCAGTAAGCGAAGATTATTCCACCACGCTCCAGCCTGTGCAACAGAGCGAGACTCTATCTCAAAAAACAAGAACAAAAAAGGTTTTCCTTTCCTTTTCATTTTTGTCAAGGTGAGATTTACATGAAATTAACCATTTTTAAAGTGAACAATTTAGTGGCATGTAATACTCTCACAATGTTGTATAAGCACTATTTCTATCTAATTCCAAAACATTTTCATCACCTCAAAAGGAAACCCCATGCCAAGTGTTCCAGTTATTCCCCATCCTCACAACCTCTACACGTCTGTTTTCTGTCTCTATGATTTTGCCTATTCTGGATATTTCATATAAATGAAATCATTCAATATTTGTCCTTTTGTGTCTAGCTTATTTCACTTGGGATGTTTCCAAGGTTCATCCATGCTATAGCACGTATCAGTACTCCATTTATTCTTATGGCTGAATAATATTCCTTTTTTGTGTTGCTGGTTTTTTTTGGAAACAGAGTCTATCCCCCAGTGATCTTGGCTCACTGCAACCTCCACCTCCCAGATTCAAGTGATTTTCCTGACTCAGCCTCTCAAGTAGCTGGTATGACAGGCACCCATCACCATACCTGGCTAATTTTTGTATTTTTAGTAGAGACAGGCTTCACCATGTTGGCCAGGCTGGTATCGAACTCCTTAACTCAGGTGGTCCACTCGCCTCAGCCTCCCAAAGTGCTGGGATTACAGGTGTGAGCCACTGCACCCAGCCTTTTTTTTTCCTTGAGACAGAGTCTTGCTCTGTCACCCAGCCTGGAGTGCAGCAATGCGATCTCAGCTCGCTGCAACCTCCACCTCACAAGTTCAAGTGATTCTCCTGCCTCAGTCTCCCAAGTAGCTGGGATTACAGGCATGCGCTACCACACCCAGCTAATTTTTGTATTTTTAGTAGAGATGGCATTTTGCCATGTTGGCCAGGCTGGTCTCAAACTCCTGACCTCAAATGTTCCCCCAACTTCAGCCTCCCAAAATGCTGGGATTACAGGCATGAGCCACCACACCCAGCCTAAAGGTAACATGTTAACTGACCTCAGTTGATCTGCATGCCTCGGCTTCCCAAAGTTCTGGGATTACAAGCATGAGTCACTGCGCCCGGCCCAAATAATATTTTATTTTATGGATATACCACAATTCATTTATCATCTGTTGATATATCTATGGCTGTTTCCACCTTCTAGCTATTGTGAATAGTGCTGCCATAAACATGGTATACATGTATTAGAACACAAGAAAACTTGATGTTTGTTAGTGTCCATTTATGACTTAAAATATAAGTCCCCTCCAGAAGCTTATGAATAATATGAAACTTAGAATTCTCAGATGTGTAAGTTCCTTTTTGTACTTAAGCTAGTTTAGATTGGGTTTCTGTCAACTTGAAAGAATCCTGACTACTACAAAATTTTTAAATATCTTTCAAAATACAGTCTTTAGGATCTATGGAAAGAATTTGCTCATTAACAGTAACTTTTTGAAACAAAACCAAGTAACATTTTCTGAAGTTCAAAGCTCTCCTGTCCCTAAGGAAACTTGAAATGAATATGAATCTGAAACATTTCTGAAATAGAAGAATGAGCTCAGCTAAGCACAGAACATTCCTGAACTGTGTCTGCCACCGCAACAGGATAATCATAACGCAGGGTCTTGAACCAGAAGTGTTTTTGTGTGTGCCAGACTTAAAGAAATTCATAGTGCCTTAACTGTAAAATAATTCTATTTTTAAAAAACAAACCTTTTCTAAAGGGTAATCATTTTTAGCAATCCATCTGAACACAAGTCCCCAAAACACAAACACTGTTCTTTCCTTCTTTCACCGTCTGCTTCCTGCCATCCATCTTTCTTCTCTTGTGGTCATAGGAATTTTAGCATTTTCTTTTCAAAAGATTTCTAAGAATTGCCTTTGGTTTACTGGCTGAAATCTTGTACCACATACACTTCTTCAAAAGCACATGGTTTCTTCCCATTTTTATTGAAGAAAAACCAAGTAATGAGCAAATCTATCTGATGACAACCTAAAAAAAAAATCCATCACCTTCAGTTCATTTTGATTTGGGGGTTCTTGACTCACCTGGTTAATCAGGATACACATTTAATCTGAGATCTATCCTGCTTTCCTCGGTATAACTGCTGTGGTGGATTGCAATGGCCTTTGTATTTCCTTCTGCCTCTCAAATCTCTCCACTCTCTTAGGTTTCCCTCCAGGCTACTGTGGATTAAATCAATCACATTCTTGCTTCTAGAAATGTGAGATTGGTGCAACACATTCTAATTCAATATGGGTGTTCACTTAAACTGAGATGAATTTAGGAACTTTCAGTCATTTTGGGAAACTATGTTTGGCTATACGATCAGTGAACATGGTCTTAAAAGTAAAAGGAAGCCAGGCATGGTGGCTCATGCCTCTAATCCCAGCACTTTTGGATCACTGGAGGTCACTTGAGGAGTTTAAGACCAGCCTGGCCAACATGGTGAAACCCTATCTCTACTAAAAATACAAAAAATTTCCTGGGCATGATGGCGGGTGCCTGTAATCCCAACTACTCAGGAAGCTTAGACAGGAGAATCATTTGAACCCAGGAAGCGGAAGTTGCAGTGAGCCGAGGTCGTGCCATTGCACTCCAGCCTGGGCAACAAGAGCGAGACTCCGTTTCAGGGAAAAAAAAAAAAAAGTAAAAGGAGAGGAGAAAGGAGAGGAGGGGACAAAGAAGAGAGAGACAGAAAGGAAGAGGGGCAGAAGAGAAGGGGAGAGAGAGGTAAAAAGAAAAAGAGAGAGAGAAATAAGGAGAGAGGGAGAACAGGAAGAGAGAAAGAAAAATATTTTTTTTGCTTATGTCAGGGGCCCCCAACCCCTGGGCCATGGACTGGTACCAGTTCCTGGCCTGTTAGGAACTAGGCTGCACAGCAGGAGGTGAGCAGCGGTGAGTGAGCCTTGTCGCCTGAGCTCCACCTCGGTCAGATCAGAGCAGCATTAGATTCTCATAGGAGCGTGAACCCTACTGTGAACTGTGCACGCAGGGGATGTGGGTTGCATGCTCCTTATAAGAATCGAATGCCTGGTGATCTGAGGTGAAACAGTTTCTTCCTGAAACTATGCCCCAGCCCCATTCAAGGAAAAAGTTGTCTTCATGAAACCAGTTTCCTGGTGCCAGAAAGATTGCCGGCCACTGGCTTATATGACTAAAGAGACAGAGGAATCTCATTTCAGGTGAAACTTTATCAAGTGGATCAAAGCTAATCCCCAAGGACCTGATGTTTTTGCATCTCTTTATCATGCTAAGGTCAAGATGGTTGCCACAAGCCCTCAGAGCTATGTGCTAGCTTTCTATTATCTAGGAGGAAAGAGATACAGAATTCCCACTAAAGTTTTATGAGTCGCTCTGATTGGACTGACATAGCTCACATGCCTGTCTCTGCATCAATCATTGTGGCCACTGGGGGTGGGGAATGGGATGGATTATGTTGACTGGATGGATCTAGGTCACATGTTTCTTCCCTAGACTTAGAGCTGGAGTCAGCATCCCCAGATGCACACGGATTCCCAAAAAGAAACCTAGAACTACTGGTAAGAGAAGTGTATACTGGAAAGAAAGTCAACAAATTTCCATGATGTTGATCTTCCAGTTTGGCCAAATGACTCTATTTCCTTATAATTCCTCCTTTTGGGGCCGGATGTGGTGGCTCATGCCTGTAATCCCAGCACTTCGGGAGTTCGAGGCAGGTAGATGACCTGAGGTCAGGAGTTAGAGACCAGGCTGGTCAACATGGCGAAACCCCGTATCTACTAAAAATACAAAAATTAGCCAGGCATGGTGGTGGGCACCTGCAATCCCAGCTACTTGGGAGGCTGAGGCAGGAGATTTGCTTGAACTGGGAGGTAGGGGTTGCAGTGAGCTGAGATTGCACCATTGCACTCCAGCCTGGGTGACAAGAGTGAAACTCCGTCTCAAAAATAATAATAATAATAATAATTCCTCCTTTTTATCTACATTAGTTTGACTTGGCTTCTTGTACTTATAGCCAGAGTGTTCACTAAGATCTCTCACTAATGAGATCCCGCTTAGTCATAAGGAAAAAAAAAAAAAAAAAAAGATCTCGCACTTCAATAGTGAAAAGAGAAAAAACAGCAGTGGCCTAAGTTTCAGAGGAAAGGTTGAACATGGTGAAGTTACATCACATGGACACTTAGCTCATGTAAGAAGACAGTAACAATGTAAATTACTTGGGTGGCTCTGCCCCCCGTCTGAGATGGCAGATGTGAATGGCTCTTCCCTTAACCAGCTTGGTTCTGTCTTTCCTCCATGGTATAAGCATCTTGCCAACTATAATATGATTCAAGTATACATTTCATAAAAGATGGCCCTACATCAGCCATTGCTTTAACTGGTACTCAACAAAAGGAACAGAAATGGCTGGAGAAATAACTGGCCAAGCAGTACTTATTAAGCATGTTACTCTCCAAAGTGGCATGTTTCTGAATGACTCTAAAGATGATTTTCCTAAAGGACTTTCTTTTTTTTTTTTTTTTTGGACGGAGTTTCGCTCTTGTTACCCAGGCTGGAGTGCAATGGTGCAACCTCGGCTCACCGCAACCTCCGCCTCCTGGGTTCAGGCAATTCTCCTGCCTCAGCCTCCTGAGTAGCTGGGATTACAGGCACGTGCCACCATGCCCAGCTAATTTTTTTGTATTTTTAGTAGAGACGGGGTTTCACCGTATTGACCAGGATGGTCTCGATCTCTTGACCTCGTGATCCACCCACCTCGGCCTCCCAAAGTGCTGGGATTACAGGCTTGAGCCACCGCGCCCGGCCTCCTAAAGGACTTTCAAGGAATATTTTTCTTCTTCCTTTTTTTTTTTTTTTTTTTTCACTGTATAGAAAAGTCTTCTGCCAGATCAAAGAATATTTTTTTAAAAGACATTTTGTTTTTCTTTTTTAAATAAATATTCCTACAGCAATATAACATATTTCTTAGTGACTTTTGAGGGAAGTGTTGCTGATATAAGATGAGACTCTCCTACCCCTAGAAAGATAACTATCATCCACTGACACTAAGAAAACTGATCAGTGGAAAAAATGGAATATCACTGTGTCTATGAATATAATCAATGTGATGGTTTGGCTTTATATTTGCCAACTATTAAAATGGGTTTCGGCACATCATTAAAACTTAATAAATATTGAAAAATGAATATGGTTGATTTGGGCCAAATGGCCATGCTTGATGAGATAACCTGGACCCAGCATGCTTAAATTCTGTTTTGGGACATTTTACAGTGGTTTAGTGGACAGAGAGAGGTGGTGTTACTTTTAATACCATTTCTGCTGTGAATTATTTGTATGATCTGGGGGAAATTACATAATTTCTCCAAGTTTCAAGTTTCCCCACTGGTGAAACAAGAATAAAAATGCTTACCCTCCTTGTTTTCCAGAGTTATTAAAAACTGGTGGCCTATACTCTCTTAGGCAGCTGCTTGATATCTTTTAGGGCCGCATGAATGATATACAGAAGGAAAACTATTCAGATGGAAAACAATGTCAGTGCCTCCAGAGATATTCAGTGAACAGTTTATCCCATCTAATGTATCCTTGGTTGTTAAAACAGAATCAAGCACTAACAATACAACCCCCAGGAAGCATAGTTTCTCCACAGCCCATGGCAATCCTCATGGAGATGGTATTTCTAATGCTGTGTGCTGCCAAATCCCAGCTTATGATCTTTGACCCAAAAGCTCTGGAGAGGAACAAATTATGAAAAATAGTCTCTGTTGTCCAGAACAAAGCCTGATGCTAAGTCAGACAAAGAAAGAAACACTGGGAGCCAGCCACCCATATCTAAGCTTTCCAAGCAGAGGAAGCAAATTTAGTGGGAACTTCTTCCAGGAAATCTGGATGTTGTGATGTACAGTGAAGCAGAAAGAGGTTTATATTGTTCCAGGCAAAGCTCACTTCTAGGATTATAGAACCTCTCTTTTTGGTCATGTTGCTTTATGATTTACAAATAAAAAAGACATCTCTTTTCTGCATATGCCTAAGTCTAAATCCTGCCTTTGGGTAGCCGTGTGCCTCTCTCAAGTGTCCAATAAGGCTTGGGAAGCTACTAATAACAACCTTTCCTCTGCCCTGTAAAGGCATTGCCTTCCTCATTTCCCATCATTCCAAGGGATATATGGATATAGGTATATGTGTACTTAGTGACCCAGCAAATCCTGTCTTAGAATGTACCCATCAGGAATGATTGTTTATGTCCACCATAGGCACTTCAAAAGTGTTTATAGCAGTCCTGTATGAAATTTGTGGAAACAGGTACGAATTTAACTCTTCAGCTTTATATGCTGTTATTTTAACATCTGAATAGGAAATTAGATTAGTTGAACAGAACCCACTGAAGTTAACTGAAAATTCACATGGAAATTTTTATCTGTTCTCAGAAGGACTTACACAATTTTCTTATGAAGAAGATGTAGTGTTTTCAGTAAACCCACATCTCATGTCATAGGCAAAATTACCAGGAAAGTTGTTAAGAACTAATACCATTTGACTGTCTCAGAAAACACTGAATATGGGCCAGGTGTGGTGGCTCATGCCCGTAATCCCAGCACTTTGGGAGGCCACGGTTGGAGGACTGCTTGAGCCCAGGAGCTTGAGACCAAACTATGAAACAGGGCAAAACTCAGTCTCTATTAAAAATACAAAAATTAGCCAGGCATGGTGGCGGGCACCTGTAATCCCAGCTACTTGGGAGGCTGGGTCAGGAGAATTGCTTGAACCCAGGAGACAGAGGTTGCAGTGAGCCGAGATAGTGCCACTGCACCTCAGCCTGGGTGACAGAGCAAGACTTTGTCTCAAAAAAGAAAAAAAGAAAAAAAAAAAAAAAAGAAAACACTGAATATTAAGGAACAGAAATGTCCCCAAGCTAATTCAAGTAAAGAGGGATTTCTGTAATGATATCAGAGAATCTCACAGATCTTAATCACAGGAATTACAACCTGACAGCCATATTCTCTTGTGTTTCTGGAGCTGCATGGTGGCTCATCTCTGCATCTTTCTGAATGCCATTCTGTCCCTTGTTTCTCTTTGATGCCTGACTCTCCAATTGCTTATCAGCCAGCGTGTCACCAGTCAACTCCAAATGATGGCTTTGGCCCTTGTCTATATGACCCTCCAGCTTAGCTGTATTACTTTATTGCTTTCTCCCAGGAGATGCTTTGTAGACACTCAATAAATATTAATTTACTTAGTACCTAATAAGAGTAAAAATTCCCAAGAATCACTTGCTAAACACTTAATAAATATTTTCTTTTGCCCTTTATAGAGTGAACACCTTGAGTAGAAAATAATCTTTGTTTGATAGTAGGCTAGTGAAGCAAAATGCTTTTATCTGCCTTCCAGCTGGAAGAAAATACTGCCATTTGGGTGAGGCAGACTTCTAAAAGACTTGAAATTCCCAGATCAATTTGGGAATTATTTAAGATTGAACCAGATCACTACTATTTCTTAAATCAACATACTCCTGTGCCTATGAAAAGGTTTTCATTTTCATATCCCAATGGTGGCAATGTATGATTTATTATATGGTAAGGAAAAAAAAGGAGAAAAACCATTCAACCCTCAACCTCAGGCTGAGAGCTCTGGCTGTCCCTTGTGTTAAAACCGCTATAAATAAAAGTCTTAAGTCTTTGAGAGTGAATTGAAGTGGTGCATAATCTAAAACCTAAATGGTGAACTATCTTGTGATGAGAGAAGGCTTACCACGGAAGCATGAAATAGGATGAGGTCAGTGACCTTCAGCACAGTTCCAGAGATGGCCTGTGTGACAATTTGTACAGGCCCACGGACTAGCTGTCAGGGTACACTGGTATAAAACTATTCTGTGTTTGTCCACCACTTCCTCATCTTCCCCTCTTCCTATCCCCATGCATTTTCTACCTTCTTTTCCCTGCTGTGAGCCTGGGAAGCCAATCCTTGCTTGCCAGAGCTCCCTGAATCTGCTTCTTGTTGGGTTTTGCCAATGGGAGCCACTGGTAGTGTGGCCCCTAGACCCAGGCAATAGGGGCTCCAGCCTGGATGGGCCTGATACTTAGAGAGCATCATGTATAATAGACACATGCAAAAAATAAACATATATTTATTTATTTATTTTTGAGATGGAGTTTCACTCTATTGCCCAGGCTGTAGTGCAATGGCATGATCTTGGGTCACTGCAACCTCTGCCCTCTCTGTTCGAGCGATTCTCATGCCTCAGCCTCCCGAGTATCTGGGATTACATGCATCTGCCGCCACACCCAGCTAATTTTTGTGTTTTTAGAGGAGATGGGCGTTTCACATGTTGGCAGGGCTGGTCTTGATCTCCTGACCTCAAGTGATCCACCCTACTCAGCCTCCCAAAGTACTGGGGTTACAGGCGTGAGCCACTGCACCTGGCCAACAAAAATAAACTTATTGGCCGGGCGCGGTGGCTCAAGCCTGTAATCCCAGCACTTTGGGAGGCTGAGGCGGGTGGATCACGAGGTCAAGAGATCGAGACCATCCTGGTCAACATGGTGAAACCCCGTCTCTACTAAAAATACAAAAAAATTAGCTGGGCATGGTGGCACGTGCCTGTAATCCTAGCTACTCAGGAGGCTGAGGCAGGAGAATTGCCTGAGCCCAGGAGGTGGAGGTTGCGGTGAGCCAAGGTTGCACCATTGCACTCCAGCCTGGGTAACAAGAGCGAAACTCCGTCTCAAAAAAAAAAAATAAATAAAATAAATAAATAAATAAATAAACTTATTTATAAATATATAAAAAGATAATATAAATATAATATAAATATTATATATTTATATTATAAATATTAAATATTATATATAATTATATATAAGTGTTATAAATATTAAATATAATATAAATATTATAAAAATATAATAAACTTATTAAAAGACACATGGGTGCCTCTGTCACTCCAGAGACAGCACTATCATCCATGTAGACAACAATAGAATTTTGAGAAGATTTGACAGCAGAATTCTTAGATGGGAGAAAAGACACATTCTTTAACTTGTTAAATTTTTCCCCATTTCAGAAATGTAGTGTATTTTTGCACCATGCAGTGTTGTTTTCTAGCAGTGCTTGGTATCCATTTTCTTGCTTCTTTTTTAGTTCTAATTCATGCTCCATGAGTACTCACTATTTAGTGGAGTTTCATATGGTGGCTGAGGAGTATTACATGTTGTATATATGCAGTCTAGATGTCACTTGAGTGAAGCGTGGTGCCAATCCTTTACATTTGCCTGCTGGATAAACATTAAACAATAAAAGGTGAATAGATTTATGTTATAAAAATGTAAAGATTTATTAAATTTTAGAAATTAAATAAAAATTTGGCCTTTACATAATTTTGATTTAAAATGTGAAATTACAGTGGTCTGTCAGGGAATGGTTCCAGTACCTCTCATGGATACCAAATCTGTGAATGCTTATCACTGATAAAAAACAGTGCCGAATTTGCATATAACCTAAGCACATCCTCCTGTATACTTTAAATCGTCTCTACCTATAATACCTAATACAAGGTAAGTGCTATGTAAATAGTTTTTATATTGTACTATGTAAAGTTTTTTAAAAGTCTGTACATGTTCAGCACAGAAACAATTTTGTCTTCTAATATTTTCCATTGTGGTTGGTTGAATCCACAGATGCAGAATCCTCGGAAGTGGAACCCATGGGTACTGAGGGCAGACTAATTAATAATTGGTATATTTTAAAAATTTGATAAATTTTGAGTATTTTAGAACAAAGAACTTTTGAAACAATGCAAAATATAATTTTAATTTTTAATTTTTTTACATTGTCTTTGCAAGTTTTATGAAAATTTATTGAATATTGAGTACTTGTACAATTATATTTCATTTTCAATCCTTCAATCTTTAACTATTAACAGAACAGAACTTTTCTAAATTCTACATATAAAAATTGTAGTTTTATAGAAATAAAGACAAAAAGGCCGGGTGCTGTGGCTTATGCCTGTAATCCCAGTAATTTGGGAGGCCGAAGTAGGTGGATCACCTGAGGTCAGGCGTTCAAGATCAGCCTGGCCAACATGGCCAAACCCCATCTCTACTAAAAATACAAAAGAAATAGCTGGGCATGGTGGCATGCACCCGTAATTCCAGCTACTGGTGAGGCTGAGGCAGGAAAATAATTAGAACCTGGGAGGTAGAAGTTGCAGTGAGCTGAGATTGTGCCATTTGACTCCAGCCTAGGCCACAAAAGTAAAACTCTGTCTCAAAAAAAAAAAAAAAAAAATAGCCGGGCATGGTGGCAGGTGCCTATAATCTCAGCTACTCGGGAGACTGAGGCAGGAGAGTCACCTGAACCCAGGAGGCGGAGGTTGCAGTAAGCTGAGATAGCACCACTGAACTCCAGCCTGGGAAACAGAGTGAGACTCTGTCTCAAGAAAAAAAAAAAGACAAAAATTAATCTTATGGAATATATAATAATTTAGAAATTTACTATGTTTTTATTACTAATGCAAACACTGCCTTCCATAACAGAAGATCAATTATATGTTATAATAAATTCAGTTGTCTTTAATATTTTGTTAACTTTCGATTATACACAAACATATAAAAGAAAGAAAAGTCAACTGTCACAATTAACTGGAAACAATACATTTAATTTGAGAAATCAAGAGTTACAGCAATCACATGGGTCTGTCAGTCTCTGCTTATCTCTTTCAGTTATTTTACAAATCTGAACCTCTTGTAGTTTAAACATGCAATCTTATACCCCTGTGTGTCTGACTTACACACTCAGTAATCACTCAGAATAATGGGCACGGACATAGAGCAAGGGCAGGGATTGCTGCAGGCCCTGGCACACCATGCGGACCACTGACCTGCCTTCTTGCCACACAAGAGCTCTGGAGTTTGGTACTTTTTCCAGTTGCCTTTTCAAGTCCCTCTAGTCACACTGCTTCCCTGAGTTGGCGTAGAAACAACGTAGCTTTGGTGAGATTAATCAAGAACAAAAAAGAACAGCTCTGTCTTTTTCATTTGGTTTTGCTAACCACCAATGCTTTTTTGGCTTCTCAGAAAAAAAGAAAAGAAAGCTGTTCCTGTCAGCTTGGTCTGCTTAATCCCTCTGCCTTGCCTTCTCTTTCTTCTGAAAAAGACCCAATCTTCCTTTCCCACATCTAATCAGTGAGCAGTAGGGACCAAGGAAGTTGGGTAGGTTGGAACCACTTGATACAATCTAGACCAATCACAATTTCTGTCCTATATGCCACTTGAGTTGCCAAATCAGTTGTTTCTGAGACATTTAGGAATGGCATAATTGGGAGAAGGTTTTCAACGTACTTCTGACAGATTCCTCGGAGCATCTGGCAGATTATTTAGCATTTCATTTGAATGCATGAACTCTGTATCATCCCACCAATAAATCTATTATGTACTTGCAAGCCATGAAATGAGGCCCAGAAATGAGACCCCGCTTTGCCAAAGATGAAATGGAGAGAATCAGCACAATCTGAATATTGGATAAAGCAAGGAGAGCCTCTTGCTCAAGGCAGTCAAAGTGGAAAGACAGAAGATCTCAGAGCAGCCAATAACAGCAAGTCTTTGCAAGGCCTTCCAGGCATGACAATCTGTCTTCTGAGCCTCCAAATCTCACCAGCCAGATTATGGACACCAAGGAGCTAGCGAACTCTACCTGTGACATGCTTCCAAAATACTCATCTTTATATATGGTGGAGGCTTTGGCCATTATGTAGTCTATATTACTAGCTCCTAGATCTAAAATGTAAATAGAGTTTCCCTTTTTCTTATTCTGCACCATTCAACAATACTAAGTTAGAGCCCTAAATGGGTTTAGCCAACATTTCCACATTTGAATTTACATAAAATTATCTTCAAAGGATAATTTTATGCTTTGAAGATAATTCAAGGATAATTCAAAGGATAATTCAAAGGATGCTCCCAGTCAAGGGTAACTCAAAAAAAAAAAAAAAAAAAAAAAAAACTTGCCAACCTTAAGTCAAAATGAAATGAGTTGTTGGGAAAGGGAAGGCATTGAGGGTATTTTCTGAAGTGTAATAGTAGTGATAAAGTTAAATATTTCATTCAATCCTTAAAACTGCTCTAGGAAATAGGTACTGTTAGTATCACCATATTAAAGCTGGAAAATCAGGTCTAAAAGAGCTAAATCACTGGGTCCAAATCACTTATTACTAGTAAATGGCAGAACTGGGATTCAAAATCTGGTTGACAAACTCCAAATCCTATACCGTTAGCCACTATGCTATGTCAAAGACTGCCTGAAAAACTTTCGCAGTGATGATAATTTGGGGGAAAAAGACACTTCAGAACATATTTGGATCTTTCTATCTTGAAAAGGAAATTTCTTGTGTAGTTTTAAGTGGCCACACTTGATTATATCAAACAATTTAAAAATATTTCATTGATAATGAAACATGGCAAATGAAGACTACGATTTCTTGAAGTTTCTCCTTAAAAACCGAGAGGAGGAAGTCCCCGTTATGTTCCCAGGGAAATGAGAAGGGAACCCTCAGAGAAAATGTAAGCGGATGGGGTGACAGAGGAAAGCATAACCTATGGATGCCCAAGTGCTATGAATTAAGGAAGAAATCTTTATGGCTTTCCCATTTTTGTAATGTTCCAGAATGTTCCATTGTCAATGTTAACAGTCAAGGTTAGTTCTTGTCCAGGGCAGAGAATATGAGAAAATGTCATCTGCAATCATTGGAATGGGATTTTCAGCAGGTGAGCAAAGGCAATCAGTGTGACCACAGCCTAAAGTTCCATACTGGACACTTTTTTATCTGGTCTTGGATTCTCACTGCATTTCATGTATCTAATCCCTCACTCTCCCACACGTCCCCAAAGAAGAAAAGAGATAATTAACAAAGTTAATAAATACTGATCAGTTACCAAAAAAAAAAGAAAAAGTCCAGTAGTATAAAACCAGTGAACCATAATATAACTTCTTTTAAGTGCAGCAGTCATCTGTTGGAGCATTTTCCCCAATCTCTCTGTTGTAGAAACTATTCAGAGAACTGCCTCCTGGCTCCCACTGATCACAGCTAATGGGGTAAGTAGCAGATGTAAGCTGAGCCTTACCTTTGCCCAATCACATTGTCTCTCTGCAAATTTAGGGCTCAGAATATTTTAAAAATAATTTTCATGTTTTAAAAATTTGAAAAAAATCTTAAATTTCCAGAAAAGCTTTTTTCTTTTTCTTTTCTTTTCTTTCTTTCCTTTTTTTTTTTTTTTTTTTTTTTTTAGACAAGGTCTTGCTCTGTACTCCAGGCTGCAGCTCAGGAGTACAGTGGTGTGATCATGGCACTGCAGCGTCCACCTCCTGGGCTCAAGCCATCTTCCTATCTCAGCCTTCTTAGTAGTTGGAACTACAGGTGCAAACCACCAAGCCCCGCTAATTAAAAAAAATTTTTTTATAGAAACGGGGTCTCACTACGTTGCCCAGGCTGGTCTCAAACTCCTGGGCTCAAGTGATCCTCCTACCTTGTGCTCCCAAAATGCACCCAGCCAAATGCATTTATTATTTCTAAACCATATGAAAGTAAGCTACCAACATGATGACCCAACACTCTTGGGCAGGTTAGTGTTTGTTTCCTTCAGAAAAAGACATTCTCCTATGCAATCAAAATGCAGTCAGCAAACTCAGGAAATTAACACGAACACATCACTACCAGTTAATCCTCAGGCCTCATTTAAGTTCTACCACTGTCCCAATAATGTCCTTTATAGTATAAGGGTCCAGTTCACAATCATTAATTATATGTCTCTTCATTAGGGATTAGACAACTCAAAGAATTTTGAAAGTAAATGATACACAGTAAAACAAAGTCATATAAACAGATATTCAGGGAAAAGTAAGTCTTCCCTCTTGTGTGATGTCCAGAGACAATCCCTCTTACCAGTGTCTCATGCATACTTCTAGACCATCTACCATACACAAACACAGTTGTGTACATTGTTTTTTGTTTGTCTAGAACTTCTAACCTCAAGTGATCATCCTGCCTTGGCCTCCCAAAGTGCTGGGATTACAGGCCTGATCCATTGTTTTTGTTTGAGACTGAGTTTTGAGCTTTTGTTGCCCAGGCTGGAGTACAATGGCGCCATCTCAGCTCGCCACAACCTTCGCCTCCCTGGTTCAAGTGATTCTCCCACCTCAGCCTGTCAAGTAGCTGGGATTACAGGCATGGGCCATAATGCCCAGCTAATTTAGTTGTATACATTGTTGAAGAGGGATGTCCAAGCCTTTCTTAGTTCAGGGAAAAATAAGATCAGATTTAGGAGTTAGTTCTTCCTGTAAGAATGTTGAATATAGGCCGGGCGCAGTGACTCACACCTGTAATCCTAGCACTTTGGGAGGCCGAGGTAGGTGGATCAACTGAGGTTAGAAGTTCAAGACCAGCCTGGCCATCATGGTGAAACCCCATCTTAAAAAAAAAAAAAAAAAGAATGTTGAATATTTATTAAGAACTTTATTGTTCGTCATTAAGACAGAGGTTAAAAAGAGTTTCCAAGTGAATATATCTACCCACATTTATAACACAAAAGTCACTATTCACTTGGAGAAGATAAGAATCCTTTCATTGTCATACATTTGACATTTTAATTCTCTCTTTGTAGACATCAAGGATTCTTTGTCATTTAGTTGTTTCAAACGCTTGGAACATCTTCCAGATTATTACCTAAGTTATAAAATAATAGTGTAAACATTGTCTTTAAAATTGTGTTAGTTGACATATAATATTCACAAGTAAACTTACTAAGCAGTTCTTAATGTTGCATTATATACAGTAGTGTAAGTTTATTTATATAATATTTTATCTTAATGACATCAAGGCGAAAAATTAAAACTTAATTACTGAATCTTAACTATAAGGCACAAACTCTTTATATATTTATTTATTTTTGAGACAGGGTGTTGCTGTCACCTGGGCTGGAGTGCAGTGGTGCGATCACGGCTCACTGCAGCCTTGACCTCCTGGGTTCAAGTGATTCTCCCACCTCACCCTCTCAAGTAGCTGGGACCACAGGTGTGCACCACCATGCCCAGCTAACTTTTAATTTTGTAGCAATGGGGTCTTGCCATGTTGCCCAGGCTGGTCTCATCTCTTAGGTTCAAGCAATCCTCTTGCCTCAGCCTCCCAAAGTGCTGGAATACAACCAAGAGCCACCACATCCAGCTATTTCTTTAATAACATAGAAAATGGACCTATAACTTAAAACATGAAATTCTGATGTGGTTATCTTATTCCACTTGCCCAATGGGCTAAGGAGAGAGACGTGTTGGCAGCAATATTAGCAAATATGAAGATGAATACAGGAAACAGAGATGAGGGGAGGAATGTTTCTGAGGACATGCTAGTTTCTGCTTCTGGTCTCTTCCTGAGCACTGATTGCTTTCTTGCCTTTGCAGTCTGTGCTATAAGACATCACAGGATCCTTCTAATAAATATCCATGCTCATGTCTTTTAAAATTTTGCTTAAGCTAGTTTGAGTTGGTTTCTGCTATGTGCAACATTCCTAAGAATATGGATAGGGAAGTGGAGGGTCACTTGAGTCCAAAGAAATCTGAAGAAACACAATTCTCATGTGATTTGGTTTTTCTCTCTTTGAGATGGAGTCTCACTCTGTTGCCCAGGCTGGAGTTCAGTGGCACAATCTCGGCTCATGGCAACCTCCATCTCCCAGGATCAAGTGAGTCTCCTGCCTTAGCCTCCAAAGTAGCTGGGATTAGAGGTGCCCACTGCCACGCCCTGCTAATCTTTGTATTTTTAGTAGAGATGGGGTTTCACTATGTTGGCCATGCTGGTCTGGAACTCCTGACCTCAGGTCATCTGCCCATCTCAGCCTCCCAAAGTGCTGGGCTTACAGGCATGAGCCATGTGCCTGGCTCCAACATGGTTTCTGATACTGCTTGAGCTCTCCAGAAGAACTGAAAGACTGTGACAGATCTACAAGTCTAAATTATGGATCCAAATGGAGGAAAAGATGTGAATCAAGTAATTGTTTTCAGAGTTTTTGTGTAGTTGAAAAATAAGCTGTTGGCAGTTAACCTGTACCATCATTTAGAGTTGTTCCACTTCTAACTAAAATGTCTTTCCTTTTAGTTTAGTTCAATAATTTTTCCAAAAAAATTAAAAAATTCAATCCATTTTATTGACCGTTTCCTGTCCTGCTCATCAGATGAACTTTTTGAAGTATGATTGAGTACATTATTTCTTACTAATTCAAGAGAAAAGACAATGCTAATTTATTTCAGATTTTAGTAAAAAGACGTTTCAAAAATGTAACACTGCCACGTTGGGTATAAAATTTCAACATGAGTTTTGGTGGGGACAAATCAAACCACAGCTGCTCAAGACAAAAACCATGTGTACTAAAGAAGGATAATGACTCAATTTTAATTTTTAAAGCTTCATGAAAACAGCTTATAACCCCAAGGCAGGAATTTCTCACAACTTGCCCTAACACAATATAATTTGTTAGTCTATTTGTTTTGGCACTGTCAGATAGCATGGAGTTTTCATCTCCACATTTGGGTAATGCAGACCCACACTTAGTGCTGGGCACAGACTCTCACTTGCACTTTTTCATTTTCCCCTGTGCCTGATTCTGGTTTGCTCCTGGCAACTGCTTCTTCATAAACTTTTCGAAAAGGGTGATCATGGGAACCCAGAGATGCTGAAAACAGTTTATAACTCTTGTGCCAGTAGTACTTACAGAACATAGGGTCCCAGTTGCCTTCTAAGGGAGTTTGTCTCACTTCTCTTGACTCATGTCCACATCCAGAAAGCTGAGAACCTTACAGTATTGAGCATTCTATTCCAGGAGAGTCAAGTTGCAAGCACTCTGTATGCAATGCAGTATAAAGAATTTGTTTAACAATATGGAGAAATGATCTGCAATGGTCTCAAAATAAGGCAAGATAACCCACAATGACAATAGCCAAAGGCCACCATATTTGTCTTTGTTTGAGTTAGGACATAGATGGGACAGTAAGTAACAGAGACCTGAGAAAACAGGGGCTTAAACAAGATAGGATTTAATTTTTCTATCACATAGAACTTTTGGAAAAGTCCATGCATGAAATGGTGGATATGCTCTACAAAATCCTCAGTAATCTTGGCTTCTTCTAGCTTACCATTAATTGTTCCCAGATCATAGAGTGTGGCTTTTGTCTTCAGGACCTAAGATGGCTGCTAAAGCCTTAGCTTTTACATTTGCATTCCAGGCAGCAGAACAAAAGGACAGAAGGCGGCAAGAGGCAAAATTTACTAGTCCGTTGACTTCAAAGGAAGATCCCTAGAAGCTATCATTTGCATCTACACCAGTATACAAAGAAGAATGAGTAAAATAATCTTTATTATGGAAAGCCTTATGCTCAACTAACAGGTTCTGTTACTGTGGAAGACAGAGAGAAGTACTTGGGAACAACCATTGTTCTCATTTACTGTCACTTCAACTTCCTTGGAGAGCATGCATAACCTTTCTCCTGGCCTGACTTGCTCAGTGATCCTACGTACTATGGCCCAGCTGCTGGTAAAGAGCTTTTTCTGCTGATCCAGCGTATTCTGTTTGCAAAGAATAAAGATTTACTCAGGTAAGCTCAAATAACAGGACATTTACTATAATGTAATACACTAGAAAGGTGGGGGTAGATGTTCATCAAATGGCCAGTGAAGCAGACCTCATTTTTCCAATATGACTACAAAACATTTCCAGATATCCATTTTGGAAGTTTGCCACTCCCCCAGTAAGGGGTGTATTTCCTCCCCTGGGAAGACCTTTTTGATTGCCTTGACTGATAGAGTATGAATGGTAGACACTCTGTGTCTACTGAGGAAAGGTCATAAAAAGTAATAGTTTTGCCTGGGCACAGTGGCTCACACCTGTAATCCCAGCACTTTGGGAGGCCGAGGTGGGCAGATCACTTGAGGTCAGGAGTTCCAGACCAGCCTGGCCAACATGCTGAAACCCTGTCTCTACTAAAAATACAAAAATTAGCCAGGCTTGGTGGCAGGCACCTGTAATCCCAGCTACTAGGGAGGCCAAGGCACATAAATTGCTCAAACCCGGGAGGCGAAAGTTGCATGAGCTCAGGTTGCACCATTGCACTCCAGGGGAGCAACAAGAGCAAAACTCCATCTCAAAAAAAAAGTAATAGCTTCCATCACCTTTGGAACTGAGCCACTATTCTCCCAGCTGCCAGTCAGCACTAACTTGTAACCCATGTGACGGAGCCATCTTGGTAGCAAATCCTCCAGGCTTGAGGGAAGCCACCTCAGCTGATGCCATGTGGGGAACAGGTGAGCCTTCCCCTATAGCCCTTTGCAAATCAAAGATTCTTGAGAAAATATATTATTGTGGTTAAGCTTTCAAGTTTGGGGGCTATAAAAATGAATAATGAGAACAGTCAGAACTCAAGGAAACATCCATGATCAGGAAGGGCAATATAGCTGGGTCTTAATGTATACTGGAATATATACCTTGAGGAACAGGAGGGCCTTCCAGGATCTAATATGAGTCAGGTAACTAGATTATCTTTGTACACCTGGGTATCATCAGGATCCAATTAGTAGACAGAAACACTAGCTTAAACAAGGTAAGCTTAAATAATTATTCTTTGTAATGGGATAGAGTAACAGGGAATTGAAGACAAAGGATTAACTGGGGGTTGGGGAGAGAACTCTAAAGAATATAGGAATCGTGGATATAGGGAACAACCACTATCCCTCGTGCTGAGACACAGCATTCAAATGAGAGGTAAATCTGGAAAAGCCTCTTCATCCCTGTGGGCTGAGGTCTGAACCTCATTGGTGAGGGAGCAGCTGTGGCACAACGGATTGTGAGAAGTTACTGGGGTTCCACACTGGCAGGACTTGATGGGAATCTGGCTTCTGCAGAGCAGGAGAGAAACCTTCCACAGGAGTTGGACACAGAAGCAACAGAGCAAAATGAATAAAACCATAAGCTGGTTCTTTAAAAAGATCAAGAAAATTAATAAACCTCTATTTAGACTGTCAAAAAAATGGCAAAGACAAAAATTATCAGTATTATAAATGAAAAAGAGATATCACCAGACCCTCTAGACAGTAAAATGATAATTAGGAAATACTGCTAAAAAAATTCAACAACTTGAATGACATGGACTAAATCCTTGACTATAAACTATCAAAATTCACTCAAGAAGAAATAGATAACCTGAATAATCCTATATAATAAAATAAATTGAATTTTTAGTTGAAAACTTTCCTATGAGAAAAACTGGTTTCATTAATCATATATATATATAAAATATATATTATTATCTTTTTAATTGCACTTTAGGTTCTGAGGTACATGTGCAGAAACATGCAGGGTTGTTGTATAGGTACATACATGGTAATGTGGTTTGCTGCCTCCATCCCCCCATCACCTATATCTGGCATTTCTCCCCAACCTCCCTACCCACCGCTGTCCATCAAACATAGTGTGTGTGCTCCCCTCCCTGTGTCCATGTGTTCTCATTGCTCAACACCCGCCTATGAGTGAGAAAATGTGGTGTTTGATTTTCTGTTCTTGTGTCAGTTTGCTGAGAATAATGGTTTCCAGAGTCATCCATGTCCCTACAAAGGACACGAACTCATCATTTTTATGGCTGCATAGTATTCCATGATGTATATGTGTAAGAATTTCCTTGTTCAGTCTATCATCAATGGGCATTTGGGTTGGTTCCAGGTCTTTGCTGTTGTAAACAGTGCCACAGTGAACACACGTGTGCATGTGTCTTTATAAAAGAACAATTTATAATCCTTTGGATATATACCCAGTAATGGGATTGCTGGGTCAAATGGAATTTGTTTTTAGGTCCTTGAGAAACCACCACACTGTCTTCCCCAATGGTTAAACTAATTTACACTCCCACCAAGTGTAAAAGTGTTATTTCTCCAATCCTTTCCAGCATCTGTTGTCTCCAGATTTTTTAATGATCACCATTCTCACTGGCGTGAGATGGTATCTCAATGTGATTTTGATTTGCATTTCTCTAATGACCAATGATGATGAGCATTTTTTCATGTTTGTTGGCATTATATATGTCTTCTTTTGAAAAGTGTTTGTTCATGTCCTTTGCCCACTTTTGAATGGGTTTATTTGTTTTTTTCTTGTAAATCTGTTTTAGTTCTTTGTAGATTCTGGATATTAACCCTTTGCCAGATGGGTAGATTGCAAAATTTTTTTCCCATTCTGTTGGTTGCTGGTTCGCTCTAATGATTGTTTCTTTTGCTGTGCAGAAGCTCTGGAGTTTAATTAGATCCCATTTGTCTATTTTGACTTTGGTTCCCAATGCTTTTGGTGTTTTAGTCATGAAGTCCTTGCCTATGCCTATGTCCTGAATGGTTTTGCCTAGGTTTTCTTCTAGGATTTTTATCATGTTAGGTCTTATGTTTAAGTCTTTAATCCATCTGGAGTTAATTTTAGTGTAAGGTGTCAGGAAGGGGTCCAGTTTCTGCTTTCTGGGCACTGCTGGCCAGTTTTCCCAACACCATTTATTAAACAGGGAATCTTTTCCCCATTGCTTACTTTTTTCAGGTTTGTCAAAGATCAGATGGTTGTAGATGTGTGGTGAGGCCTCCGAGGCCTCTGTTCTGTTCCATTGGTCTATATCTCTGTTTTGGTACCAGTGCCATGCTGTTTTGATTACTGTAGCCTTGTAGTATAGTTTGTCTCAGGTAGTATGATGCCTCTAGCTTTGTTCTTTTTGCTTAGGATTATCTTGGCTATGTGGGCTCTCTTTTGGTTCCATAGGAAGTTTAAGGTGTTTTTTTTCAGTTCTGTGAAGGGGGTTATAGGTAGCTTGATGGAGATAGCATTAAATCTATAAATTACTTTGGGCAGTCTGGCCATTTTCACGATATTGATTCTTCCTAACCATGAGCATGGAATGCTTTTCCATCTGTTTGTGTCCTCTCTTGTTTCCTTGAGCAGTGATTTGTAGTTCTCCTTCAAGAGGTCCTTTATATCCTTTGCTAGTTGTGTTCCTAGGTATTTTATTCTCTTTGTAGCAATTATGACTGGGAGTTCACTCTTGATTTGGCTCTCTTTAAGTCTGTTATTGGTGTATAGGAATGCTTGTGATTTCTGTACACTGATTTTGTATCCTGAGACTTTGCTGAAGTTGCTTATCAGTTTCAGGAGATTTTGGGCTGAGACAATGGGGTCTTCTAAATATACAATCATGTTGTCTGCAAATATAGACAATTTGACTTCCTCTTTTCCTAATTGAATATCCTTTATTTTTCTTGCCTGATTGCTCTGGTTAGAACTTCCAATACTATATTCAATAGGACTGATGAGAGAGGGCATCCTTCTCTACTGCCAGATTTCAAAGGGAATACTTCCAGTTTTTGCCTATTCAGTATGATATTGGCTGTTGTTTTGTCATAAATAGCTTTTATTATTTTGAGATATGTTCCATCAATACCTACTTTATTCAGAGTTTTTAGCATAAAGGTTGTTGAATTTTGCCGAAGGCCTCCTCTGCATCTATTGAGATAATCATGTGGTTTTTGTCTTTGGTTCCGTTTACGTGGTGGGTTATGTTTACAAACTTGCATATGTTGAACCAGCCTTGCATCCCTGGGATAAAGCCTACTTGATCATGATGGATAAGCTTTTTGATGTGCTGTTTGATTCGGTTTGCCAGTATTTTATTGAAGATTTTTGCATCTATGTTCATCATGGATATTGGCCTAAAGTTTTCTTTTTTTGTTGAGTCTCTGCTGGGTTTTGGTATCAGAATGATGTTGGTCTCATAAAATGATTTGGGAAGGATTCTCTCCTTTTGTATTGTTTGATACAGTTTCAGAAGGAATGGAACCAGCTCCTTTTTGTATGTCCGGTACAATTTGGTTGTGAACCCATCTGGACCTGGGCTTTTTTTGGTTGGTAGGCTATTGATTGCTGCCTCTACTTTAGCCCTTGTTATTGGTCTATTCAGGGTTTCAACTTCCTCCTGGTTTAGTCTTGGTAGAGTACAAGTGACTAGGAATTTATCCATTTCTTCCTGGTTTACTAGTTTATGTGAATAAGTAGCTGTCTGTGGTAACGTCTGATGGTAGTTTGTATTTCTGTGGGATCAGTGGTGATATCCCCTTTACCGTTTTCTATTGCATCTATTTGATTCTTCTCCCTTTTCTTTTTTATTAATCTTGCTATTGGTCTATTTTGTTGATCTTTTCAAAAAACCAGCCCCTGGATTTATTGACTTTTTGAAGGATTTTTTGTGTCTCTATCTCCTTCAGTTCTGCTCTGAGTTATTTCTTGTCTTCTGCTAGCTTTTGAGTTTTTTTTATCTTGCTCCTCTAGCGCTTTCAATTTTGACGATAGGGTGTCAATTTTAGATCTTTCCTCTCTTCTCTGGTGAGCATTTATTGCTATAAATTTCCCTCTCAACACTGCTTTAAAGGTGCCCCAGATATTCTGGTAAATTATGTCTTCATTCTGGTTGGTTTCGAAGAACATCTTTATTTCTGCCTTCATTTCATTGTTTATCCAGTCAACACTCAGAAGCAAGCTGTTCAGTTTCCAAGTGGTTGTGCAGGTTTGAGTGTGTTTCTTGATTCTGAGCTCTAGCCCGATTGTGCCGTAAACAGCCTTTTAAAAAGCTAGAATAATTTTCCACTAGTTAGAACTGAACATCATAATATATAAAAATTTTACAGACTCTGTAATTCAGGTCATTTGGTTTAATTATGACTAATCCGTAGGAATATACAATACAAATTTGTCAACCATCCACAATTAAAAACAACTATGGAGAAAAATTTTACTATGTTCAGAAAAAGATTTTATTCATATTCTTGAAAGATAGCTTTGTTCCCAATAAATATTCCTCCTACGATTTTCATATATTTTAGGAAAAGATGTATTCAATTCAAAAATAAGTAACATCAAGTTATTTGAC